TTCAACTCCCGGTTCTGCAGGAAAAAAAAAAAATCATAAAACAGGGAGAGAACACAGGGCCAAACAGGAAAGCTGAGAATAACCCAGGAGCCTGGCTTGATCTTATAATAACTCACTCTCACAAAAACTAACTCTGGATACCACAAAGATCTGTTCAGAAAGAAGTGTTCCCAGTGACCTAAGAACTCCTACTAAGCTTCACCTCTTTGAGGTCCATAACCCCTGCAACTGCCATGGAGGAACCAAGCTTCCAACACAGAAACCCCTGGGGGACACACCACATCTAGCCCATCTCATGGCTACCTCCATCTACTCACCTAAATCTTACGTGTTAAAACAGTTTTCACTCTTCTGGATCAAAACTAATCTGTGTTCAGGCTCTATTATTGTGTTTACTGTCTCACAACAGATACTTCTGTTTTATTGCTCACGCTCAAATGTACGGTGTAGATATAGATACACCGATATCCTACAAGGAATTAGTGCAGATGACCCTGGAGGCTGGGATGTCTGACCATTGGCCATCTGTAAACTGGAGATCTAGGAAAGCTACTGGTGTCGTTCCAATTCCAGTCCCCGGGGCTGGTAAGCAACAGAACTGATGGTGTAATTTCCATCCAAATCCAAAATAGTAAGATTTGGAAAGCTTGTTGTTCTATCCTGAGTTCCAGGGCCTGCGAAGAAGGAGCACAATAATCTTAGTCTGGGGACAGATCACTGATGTCCTAGCTTAAATATTTAAGGAGAGGGGAAAAAAAATTCTCCTTACCTCTGCTGCTTTTGTCCTTCCGAGGTCCTCAACAAACTATAAGATACCTGCGTACATTGGGGAAGGGAATCTGCTTTACCACATCTACTTATTGAAATGCTAATCTCCTTCACAGCACCACATAACCATAAATAACTTTTAACCAAATATCTGAGCACTCTGTGTCAGTCCCCTGGATGTATAATGTTCAACAAGCAAATAAAGAGTAAGAATAAAATCTATTCTTTTTCAGCTTGGCACACAAGCACATCTCTTTAAACCAAATTTAATCTTCAAATAAAAACCTTGACAAATTTAATTATAATTCTACAAAGTATGATACAAGATCATCTGAAAGTAGGAATCTTAAATCTTGATTAATAAGTGTTAGATGATAGACAGACAATAGGTTAAATTTTCTATATAAAAATCCCCATATTTTTAAATCTTAGCATCTGATTTCATTTATTTTAATTAGTAAATAGGGGACAAGGCACATCCAATATCTAGAATGGTCTTGCTCCATCTGCCTCCTACTAAAATCTCACTCACCCATTCTCCCGAAGAGGAGGTAAAAGCCTTTCAATTTAATTTCTCCTCTTCATATCCCATAACTTGACTGTGATGTAAACTTAACAACAAGTAAAGTAAGATAAAAATTCAGTACATCTTTCATAATATGATAAACAAGAGGAAAGAAAATGGTATGGCTATATATCCACATATTCATAGCACAATGATGTATAAATACTCATTACCATTACAGTCTTCATTTCTGAAACTGGCCATACGGGCATGATGGCCATACGTCCATAAACCACCTTCTCTTACTCATTGTGTATTATCTTTGTCTTCAAAGACAATAGCAAATTTGGATTATATAACTGGTGAATTATTATCTACTAAATCTATTTTAGCAGATTAGATTATATGACGGGTGTATTATTATCTACTAAAAGTTCTTATTTTCCCCAAAACATATATGTTCACATCCTGTTCACCAAGGCGATAGCTTTAGGACATGACTAGATCGCGAGGACTTCATAGTCTATCAACCAGGACACTGACCCTCACCAGACACTGAATTTGATAGTGCTCTGATTTTGGACTTCCAAGTCTCCAGAAATTTGAAAAGCAAATGTTTATTATTATTTTAACCATCCAGCTTATAAGTACAGTGTTTTGGGTTGTAGTAGACTAAGCAAGACATGAGATGAACCAGAAATTCATTCCTGAAGGGTCAGGGCCATTAGCTGTTCATCATGAATTGAGTTGTTAAAATTTTCAATGAAGTTTAATTACAGAGCATGCTAATGCTAAGAGATACTCTAAGCAGCTGCCTGCGTTCCAGGCATATGTTCCTTATCGTGAATGTGACATACCAGCCCAATGTCCACATGGGAGTGAGGGTCAGTTACCTACCTAGCACAGTAACTCCTTTTTGTTTTCTCTGCCTGCTGACTCAGGGACATAGGGAGCCCAGAGTGGCTTAATGGTGATCTTAATTTCCAATTCAGTGCAGTCATTGTGGCTCCTGATAGAAGCATTCTTCCACTGGAACAAAGTCCTTTATTTTGCAGGGCATAAAGTCGCCAGAACAAGGAGCAAAAATTTTGCTAGTCGGTCACTAGGAGGAATAGTAACTCTCCCATGTCCATGCTTGGGTTGCTAGTTCCAAGGTCATCCTCAGAATGGGAAAAACAATGCCATATGTTGAAAGCTGATTTAGAATTTTGCTCCAGCCCTGAAAGATCTTGCCACCCAGCTGGTATTGTCACTGAGTCTTTAGAAGGTCATTTCATTATTCCATCAAATCACCAGGGTAGGATGAGTGACCATAGGCATGGATTGTTAATTGCCTCAGAGTAAAGTTGCTGAATCTCTAAAACTGAGAAACTGCAAACCTAAAATACTAAACTACTTCCAACTAGATTTGAGCAAAATATTGGCATAGTGTTTAAGAGTATAGGTCAGCACCGTCTAATAGAAAAATAAAGCAAGTCACAAATTCAAACCAAATAAATAATTTCCTAGTGGCCTTTTCACAAGAGCTGAAATTGAATTTAGTAATGTTTAATTTAAGCCAACATATCTAGAACTTTATATTACATAATCAATATAGACAGTTACTACTCAAATAGTTTGTATTCTTTCTGTAGTGTTCTTCAAAACCTGGTGTATTTGTTCACAACGTTTGGCTAGCCACAGTGCAAGTGTTCAGTAACCATGTAATCTCATCTATTATATGCTTAACTCATCCACTTAATCTATCAATGGAAAAATCTTGATAAAACTACCAAATATGGTAATAATGAAGATTAAATCAGGCACATATGAAATGCTTAATTTATGTTTTGTGCCCTTAATCATTTGATATTGGTATGGATATAGATAGATAAAATCATGCCCAAGCCTTAACTTTAGCTGGATTCAACATAACAAGCCATTTGTTTCATGACTCAATGCTTTATATACAGAAATTAGTAATATACAAAAATTTTTACTTCATGGCCTTTGAGAGAGAAAAATGTCACCTATGTCTTTAAATACAAGTGAAATGTGTCTTCTTTATAATTTAATCAGTCAGGAAAGACATTATGCTCTTAAAGTATGTTCTATGTTTTTCTTTTTGCTTCTATGCTGCTTAAAGGAGGAATAATAGATTCTTCGTGAAGGCGCAGGAAGAGAAACCCTGAGTCTTGTTCCCTTTGAAAGTGGTCCTGGTCACATTCTTTCACTATTTCCAGCACACTGAAATCATTTCTTAAGCTATTTATCTGAAGTTCTCCGGCTTCAGGCTTTCCCTGACTACATTTCCTAAAATACATCTTTTATTTTCCACTCCAGCATCACAGTTATTTCTTTAATGAATTCATGTCACAATTTAGTTGTCTCTCTGTTGCAAGACTTTTGACTCATCAGGTTAGGATTTAGATCTGTCTTGCTCATTAATAAAGTCTTGGCAACCAGCACAAGGGCAGGGGAGAGTAGGCACTAAGTATTTCTTGAAGAAATGAATGAGGGAATAATTGGGTGTTTGCTAGTCTCTCATCATGCTATGAACATCAGTCCAGACTGGGAAGGCTCACTCGAGCATGCCTAAGAAGAGATGCAGAGCAGCAGAAAGCACAGAAGTCTGTATTCAGCTGCTCAGCTCAGCCCCGCCAGCTCCTCTGTCCAGCTGCCCAGCCACTTAAATTCTTTTGATTTTAGACTTAATATCCCTAAGAAATCCCTTTAAACTGTCTCAACTGTAGTGTAGCCATCTTGGGATTCATTTTTCCCTACAGGTATGTGTTGAGAGATTTTCAAGGAAGAGTGTCACAGACATGATTTCTTAAATAAATATATCTGCATCAAGCAGATACAAAAACAGAAGGGCTTTTTGTAACCTCCCACAGATATCAGTTCACAAGATAGAGACTATGTTTGGATTGGAAACTCTGCTTCCCACCCAGCATAGTACCTGCTGTATATTAGGCAAACATGCATGTGTGTATGTATGTATGTATGTATGTCCTGTATTTCTTGACTGAATGAATAAAGGAATTCTGATATGAAATCATGTAACTATGCTAGGGGAAATTTTACTGCAAAAAATTTTATGATGAGCTAGAAAGAAAAGTAAAGGGCCAGGGAGGTAGCTCAGTGGACTAAGTGCCTGACCACTTAGTCCACTTAGGCAAGCACAGGGACTGGGATTCAGTCTCCAGCACCACATACTGCACCGGCCCCACCACCAAGCACACTGAGCTGGCCACTGAGTCCCAGAGTAGTGGCACATGACTGTAAGTCCAGCACGGGGATGCTAAAAAGAGGATCACTAGGAGCTATGTAGTGAGGCCCTGTGCAAAATACAAGAAAGCAAGAAAGAAAGAAGGAGGAAGGAAGGAAGGAAGGAAGGAAGGAAGGAAGGAAGGAA